GAGAAAAATCTGTTTTGCTTACTGTGCCAACTTACAAAGACGTACATATCCATACACCTATCCAATTTACTTATGCGAAGTCAAAAAACAACATCTATTTTAGTTTACAAAGCGAAAACAACATAAAGCATCAAAAGTAGATATTCAAAACAAAATATATTATAGGTTATTTAATGGAAGTTACTTATTTACTTATACAAATGGATTGGGAAATTTATATTTTCTATGTGAGGTTGCACTGAATCTTAATCTGATAATTTAAGTGGGGTTTAGTTACCGGCCTCAAATTAGCTAGTACCAACAGTAGCTTGGCACAAATAGTGTATAATTGCTCAATTATTTCATTATTAGTAATTATTATGACAGTTATTACGGTAAATAAAACAGTGAAGAAACGACGGCTACCAACGAAAGTAAAAGGTTACTATTGCTTATAGTGCATAAAAAAAATCTTAATAAATATAATCATATTTAACAACCGGTATAATTACTAATAAGCATACTTCAGTAAATGGTTTGTTTAAGATTCCTGACCTCAAGAGTAAGAAGTTCGCCTTTGCGTCAATCAGTCTACTGAACCGTTCTTTAATGTCCATAAAACAAAAAAAAAAAACATTCCAAATTCAAATATGAACTGACTATACTCCTTCTAGTCTATTGAGTCCTATTGTTTATGAAGCAAGTTCAGTTTTTGGAATTTATGTATAAAAAATATGGTTGTAGTAAATACTCTCGATTTATAGAACCTCTTTAATTATATTATAAGTGATGTAGTTAAATTGGCGATTTGCATAGCAGTAAACGCGACTGTCAATCAATTTGCATAAAGCCAATGGACTGAGCGAGATCCCATCAAACTTTGCGATTGGCCCCTCAAAGTAATTAGTTTAATTACAAATTGTTCTACGCCACCAATTTGCATTCCCGATGGTGATACGAAATCGCAAATTATTTTCATGTATACTAAAAGCTACTTTCCGAGTCATTTGTTCAACACAAATACCGCTACCCTATAAACAATCTTCAATTTCTGGAAGAGCATCAACGTCAAAGAGGTCTTCAATACAAGGGAATGAGTTTATGAAATTACTTTTATTTATTTTGTTTTTCAACAAAACTCCAACGATTATTTGGTTTCCATGAAGGATCTTTATGAAAAGAGTCCTGGCGTTTATTTTTCTCGATGTAAGTATGAGATAATTGTTATGAGTAATTTCAAAATACTATTTTGTTGTTAGACTACAGAATACAAAAAATAAACAAAATATTATATTCTGAAAGTAACATGGTACCTACTGTAGCGTCCGAGCACATTGCTATGGATTCATTCTCCTAATGATTTTTGATAATACTTAGATCTTAACTTTAAGTCATAACGCCTACATATTACAGTAAGTACATATATGTAAGTATATATAAATTAATTGAAACAGAAATTAATTTCTTATTTTTTACACGCGCACTATCCATATATGAAACACTTTTAAACTGTTTTATCACATAAGACTTATGGTGAAGATTGAGTCTTATGTGAAAACACAGAACCTGTAAACAGTCCGAAACATCAATAAAAGAAAAATACAAGCGCGATGAAACTATTTCAAAGTTGTTTCATTTGAAACAGTACATATTAATGCCATTAAAATTATAAATTGTATATCACTAAATGAATGTCATTACATATTATGATTTCTCGTCAAAATTTAATAGAGATGTCCGTCATCTACAAACTGCAGATTAGATAAATTAATTATACGTTTTAAATCATAATAAACTGGCCTATAATTGTGTTAGTAAAATACCTACTCGTAATTCAACTCACTTTAAATTCTATTAGCATAATATTCGTTGTAAAAATATTTCTATGCTAACAATTTTTTCAGTTTTCTTTTTTGAAAATAAAGCTTAAACTATGTTGATAATAAGCAAATTGGTTAATGCTACTTATTAGAGATTGTGAATATTCATACATGAAATTAAGGAATCAACATATAATTGGAAAAATTGTTATGTCAGAAAATATTTTAGGAATAGGTAAAATTTTCTTTTGATGGACTAGTGATCTTGTATAGACAAATTAAATAACCCGAAACTCGAGAGGGTTGCATTATTTAATTAAAACGCTCCCACGGCCACTTTTAGATTCCATTATAAGTCCTGCTATTCTGTAAAAATCCAGATCCGAATTCGAATTCACTTATGTATTCACATTGTTTAGCGTAGAAATTAAAAATACAAATAATTCGATTGTTTATACGTGTCTCAGATATTCCTATGTCATTTCGAAACTCACTTCACTTATGCCATAAATGTTATTACCAATTTATGCTTGAGCGGATGCCGCTTTTTGAAGTGATTCGAATTCGGGTTTGGATTTTTACTGAATCGCAGGGCAAACCCTGAATTTATCTCGGACAAAATTCATTGTTATAACCAATATTTTTTTTACTGTAGAGCTACCAAATCTACCTGCTTCATCTAGATTAGCTGAATTCCATTATAATATATTATTTTTATCCAAATCATGTGTATGCTAAATTTTAGCTCAATAAAAAACCGGGAAGTGGGTCCTTAGCTTGCAAGATTTGACATGCACTGATAAACAAGTCAAGTTAAATAAAATATATAGAAAAATTGACACCACCGCAATAAAATATTTACAACTTTCGCCAGCGGCTTCGTGATCCCTAGAGAAATAATTGTTGAGATAAAAAGTCCTATTATCCAAGGCACCTAATTCCCTATCTGTATACAAAATTCATCAAAATCCGTTCGGTTAGTTTCGGCGGCAAACAAAGAATCTTTCGCATTTATAATATTAATAGGATAAAATGCGTCTATTCGTTAACGAATGTAACCGAGTTAATAATTCGTCCGATTTCATCATCCGTAAAATTGTGAATTGTGTCTCTGATTAGTAAGCCTTTGCGGTAACTCGTTTTGTGTCCACCGAGTTCCACGTTTACTTGGGTACATTATTGTATAAATTTAACAAAAGAAGAAAACGGAAACAAAATGGATTCAACATGAAAAACATTTGTTAAGAAGAGATATTTGACGTTAAATTTATTCGAATTTTCTATCACGTATTTAGACGTTCACGGACGAATGAAATATAATTTTCGATTAAATTACCATTCGCCAGCATTTATTGTTTCCTTTATTTATTAACTTGTTGGAAGATTTACAGCTATGCAATAAAAAAACATATAAATTTTATAGAAAAACAAAAAGCCAATGAGGATGTATTTAAAAAAAAAATTGTTCCCGAAATCAAAGTAGATGTCGCCACGGTACGTTCTTGATTTCTCCATGACAACCTTTCCGGTTTTCTTTCATGTTTCAAAGTAAATTAATTTTCAAAACTCAATAAACAACTCATATTCTATTTATATTTTTTCGTATTTGTATTGATATCTAAGTTTCGAATTTTCAAATTCAGTTTTTTAATATGTTAGCTAAAAGGAATGGAAATGACTGTCTTTGGTCCATTCGTTTCCTGCAAAAATCAACTTTTGCTAGAGTCGCCATCTAGTGGAGGTGCTTTTTTAATGCTTTCTTTTTTTTTAATACTTCCTCATTAGTGTCTTCACAATTAGCAACATACTACAATTAGTAAATGTGTATTACACAACTATACACTGATCACGCACACATTAAGTCCGCAGCTATGATAATTTAAAACCGCAGTCAATAGTTAATACGAGTAGCATATTGTCACTTACAAATCTTCGAAGAACATACTTAAAATACGTCTGGCGGAAACGTCGCTAAGTTTGCCTGTCTCGATATACTCGTCTCATTGAAATGCGGGTTCGGACAATTTTCTTAAAAGTGTTTTAATTTAATCATAAATGAGGAATTATTTCTATAAAAAAAATGTTATTTTAATTAAAATTTAAATAAACCTCATTGTGTATTAAACATTACGTTCAAAATTTAATTGTTCAAAAAAACCGCGTAAACGGCGTCTCGGAGAATGTGACGTTATTTGTGGCGTAAACAAAAGTGTATTTCAGTGAAGAAAAAATGAATTATTTATACTCAAAAATAAATAAATCCGTAAACTGACCTGTTACAAATCAAGTTAAGACTTGTTAAAAACTAAGTAAATCATTAAGAATATTTTGCATTCCGTATGTTTCCCGCGCTTTTCCTAGATGGTTTTAGTATCACCCACAAATGATGTCACGCGCTCTGATTGGTGTTTCATTTGCAATAAGACACAGACTACAAATATTGGAGAATTACATTTTTGTTGATTCATTCAAAAATATAAATAATTGTTATTTATTTAGCAAAAAGATTCGGCGAATAATCTTTATGAACTTTTTTTTAACCATATACAATTTTTTTTTTTTACTATTTGCTGTCCGATGACGTTAAAAGCTTATCAGACATTGAAGTTAATTTCCATGAAGAGAATAAGAATACATAAATGGAATTCAAATTTTACTCAAATTTTGCTTATGTGTCAGACAACGATGACAGTATCGTACGCCAAGTGTTCTTTATGTGTGTGGTTACGTCAAGCTATGTTGGCAGTTCGCCTATTTCCTGTGTATCCGCTGTACCACTTTTCATTTTCTACCAAAGTTGTTATAGAATATATTTTTATGTTACGAATGAGCGAACAGGTGATGCGGGAGTAACGAAAGCTTAAAGCAAGTTTATTACTTTAAATTTTCTACTATATTTTCAGTATTTTCTAAAGTACAATTTTTATGTAATTTTAAACTAGGAAGTTTTATTTTAAATATATTTATTTTACAAGGTAAGTGAGTTTACTCTGACGAAAATACAATTTTAAAAGTGAACGCTCGTGATGTATTTTTTTGTTCAATACACACAGCTTATAAGATGGGGCAGAACCAGTTTATTACTACAAAGAGCTGATGAGATCAAAGCAAATTGTGAGAAAGCAGCCGGAATTTATCAATAAAAAGGGTACGGTTTTTCGCCACAATACCGTTAGACTACAGACAGCCACTCAGCAAAAATTAAGAGAGTATTGCTCTGAGAGGTGTTAATGCATTCGCCCTGACCTTCAGATTTCCATCTGTCTCAGTGTCTCTGGAATATTTTTGCGCAATGTCAAGTTAACATCAATAGAGAAATGCCTATAGTCGCGTTTTTTATTAAAAATCGGGGTGGACTTAATAAGTATTTTTTATTATAAATAGAAATGCCAAAGGAGAACATTTTTTGTTTTGGATTGGTACTTTATTCAGAGTATCTATAACCAAGCATAAAGTATATATTATTCGATAGAGGGTAAATAAACTTACACATGATCGTTTATTTTTATTTTTAGGCGCCGCCAAAATATTTATTTCCTGATTTGAACATTATTTGATGGATATTTTATAATTTATGTAGCACCACATAAGTGCATTAAGAAAATCTATGGCAAACCCATCTCGTAAGTTATATTCCAATTCATGCTATGAACTAATCTATCTGGACATTATTTTTATTTGCTATTAATCATTGCTATTTTAGATATCTAAATGTCGATTTTCATAATTCTATTTTCACAATATTGATACATAATTCCTTCACTAGGCACGTTAAATTATAATAAGGTGCTTTGGGGTGATACCCAAAACATGCAAATCCTGAAAGTGACGAATTAACAATACTGTTGACTATTAAACAGGCTTTTATTAGATAAAAATCTTTTAATTACAACAAACATATTGTTTTTTGTTTTATTTCATCATCTGAATTTCCTCGCTTTCCTAATTACCCCATAGTACCCTACCGAAGATTAGGCTGTAGACGAAGCTCCCTTTGTCTATCCCATTTTATTTGAGGCGTTTTCTTTTTTAAATTGAGTTTTATAGCTGTGCATACTGGTGTTTCTAGGCAAACCATATGATTTCTTTAACTTAATTCTCTAAAACGGGGGAACTTTCAGGTCTGAAACTTTGGTGAAAGATAGCATACTATGATAATTTTCTTTATAGTGGTTAGATTTTTTCGGAATAAAGTACCGAAAAAAAAAATATTCTCCTTATATACAACAACGGGATGATGTTACTACCAACAATATAGTAGCTTTTAATTATCGTAGCTGAAACACTATTATTATTATTTATTTTTTTGTAATTTATTTTTATTCAGAAACAGAAATAAAAATGAATAAATATCAATATAATTTTGACTAACTTGAGCTCTGGTTTCTTCGGTACAGTTGTTTCTTTAGTACAATCTTCATTTTTCGTTGGTTCTTTTTGAGTCGGTGATGCAGGGGGAGTATGTTCTTTGACGTCACCGTCTATATTCGACGGCGCATAACCAGAGTCGTTATTTGTATTGTGATCCATCATTGGTATTGGTGATGCTAAATTTGCCATTATACTGAAAAGTTATAAAATATATATATAGTCATTTATTTAAAAATGTTAATGTCTTATATTTATTTAATATGTCAATAAAAAAGTATATTAATAATAATAATAAGAATATTCAGTTTCTTTAATAATTTTCTAAGTAATATTGAAAAGACGGGGATAAATCATTCCGATAATTTTTTGCATGTTTTTTACTTATACAGAATTTTATTTAGTACTAAAGTTACGAACTTCAAAAGATTCCCAAGGAATTGAATCGGCCACAATTTCATCACTCCTCTAATTTTTTTGTAAACCTATTAGTTTACACTTGAATTGTCATCAAAGTTGAAATGTCATCTTCGGTAATATTGAAAAAGCAAACAAAACATGTTATAACGACCATTTTATGGACCAGTGTAACTGAGCCATAAAACTTGTTTGATATTGGTCAATTATAATTGTAGCCGAGTTCTAAATAAATTATTGAATTAGTCAACCGTTCTTCTTATTTATTGATAATTAATTTTCAATGTTTTTAAGTTGAATTTAGTTTTATTCATAATATCTTTTTGTTTGATTTTAGCTTCAGTGACTTTCTAGTAAAATGTTTGGATTAATTAATACTTACAGACCAGTTTCTTCTACTACAGCAGCAAGCATGAACCGGGCGGACCTCGTGTTAACTAGCTCCTCAGCATAAGCACCCATTTCAGTCCTAAAGCTGAAGAAATGCGAACGAAGTTATGACACTTTAGAGGAGCTTTATCTGTTATCAGGACCCTTCAGCGTCTTTATAAATCGCACGAAACAATCAATAAATTAAGTCAACAATTAAGTGTCTTGTTGTTTCATTATTGCTGTTGCATGTTATATTGTGTTATACATTAGTATGAAATGTATATATTTCTATCGCGACATAAGACATGTAAATGTATAAAACTGATAAGTTAATATCATGTTCTAAATACACTACATACATTAGTAAAGTTCGTAACAAACAGTTAAGATGCTGTAATAGTTCATCTTATGAAACTAATTAAGTATTCTTCAGATGTTTCCATGTCCTAGCGGAACGCACATGTATACCTACCATTAATTATGTAACCTCTTTGTTTGCAATAATATGAAATGCAATTAATATTTTAATTTGAGTTGATTTGATCTTAAGGTAACATATTTTAACATCTTCACACACATGGTTAAGATACGACGATGTTTTGAAAGCCTTTATAAATATATATTTTTGTATCTTAAGATAACATCCGAAATATATATTTCGGATCTCATGATCAATACTAACTTCATCTACGAAATATATCATCCGTATAGCTTGGCATCTTAAGATAGGTACTTAATATTAATATATCAATCAGATATGTACTATCTTAGCCGTGTGTGTTGTGCTATTAGAATGTATGACGAGCGATATTTTATTTTGAAATATAATATCATTTATTTATGGGGTTCGAACCCATGACCTTTCGCAATCCGGGCGACTGCTCTAACCACTGAGCTAACAGAACTGACGAATGTTTCAAGCACTTGTTACTTCTCGCTACTACAGAGCGTATTCTCATCAATGTTCATGCATCCACCCAAACAGCCGAAAGAAATATTATTACAAATATTGGAACTTATGATAAAGATGAGAATTTGTAATATTTTTCAATATGGCATTGTGAATGTGAAGTGGATCAAATAAAATAATTTCTACTTCAAAAGATAATAATGGCTTTATTCGATTGAACGTCTAATATTCTGACAGCGCTGAATTCTATGTTGTATTTTAATAGAATACCAAAGTGAAAGTGACTGAAAAAGTGCCGTAACAGCAAAGTTAAAGTAACTGGCACTCTTGATATCGTACACTAACAACAGAAAACCTATTAGGTTACAATCAGCCATAGCTTGCATCAATGATTATTTCTACATTATTTGATTATTAGAAAACCCATTTAGCAGATATACTGGCTACCTTCTTTATTACTTTTACAAAACTGTCAATTATGTCGAGTCTAGATATTATTAATTATCATTAACGTTTCGGATAAATCACTATCCGATAAAAGCCCTATTATTTGATCGCACAAAACCCATCTGAAGTCGAATCTCAGCATTCTCTTTGACGCTTTGTAATTGCACTGGGGGCTGGATGCTATTATCTACAACTGTGCCGAAATTAAACTTTTTCCGTCAATCACTACGCAAGGGTGAGGTACGCCTGTCACACATGATATTCAGCGACAAAAGGTTTTGTTTGTGTTTATCAGATTCTCAGTAATTTGCCAGAAGTTATTTCGGCTTATAATTTTGTGATTCAGTTTTAACGCTTTGCAAAGTCCGTGTCTGTGTATTGTATTAAGTGTTGTGTCTGTTTATGATTCAAGTAATTGTTGACGAGGAGGTAAATGTAGGATGAGTGCTGAATTTATAAATTGCAGAATATTTTTCATGTCCATAAAATTCTGAAATATGAAAATATTAACCACCGCTACAGCAACCTCAGATTGGTTACCATGGAATGAAAAAAATAACCGAGTGAGTTTTCAACTAAAGAAGGGCGTCCCATCTCAGAGTACCCGGAGCTGGTGTATTTTTAAGCATCCTTCATTAAGAATATTGGGTGTTGGTTTTGCAACTTACTTTTCATCGTCATCATCGTTTTCCTCATTACTACCAGATGCTGTATTCGTTGCTCTATCGTCCTCCGTCCGGTAAGAGCCGTCTCCATATCTTTGCGTTTGCGCAATGTTTTCTATAACCACAGCTGCTGTACCGCTCGACACAGCTGAACTGAGAGCTGATGATGTTTTCTTTGCGATACGTTGCTTTTTTGCTCTTTTCCGAATCGCCTGTAAATTGGCAACTCTTTAATGAAATAAAATATTCTAACTTAATATATGTCAAGTCGGCACGGTCCACTTGTTTATTTGCCGTGACTAGTAAACTACGAGCATATTATATCTAGTAAAATAAAAATCTAAATCGTAATAATATAATTACTCCATGCTTCAAAAGGCATGTTAAACAGAAGGTCCCGGCAGCATTTGCAGTCGTTAATAGCCTCCAATCCGCATTGGCCAACGTGGAGTGTCACGGCCCATCCTTCTTAACTATCTGTAAGGAAGTCCTGAACCCCTACACTGGGTACATAAAAGGGTAGATAATGATGATGTTATTATACTAATGAGATTTATGACTCTAAAACATATGAAAATGTTACAGATACAGTAGATTCGGACATTCATTAGCTTTTACTTAGTAAAATTCAAGCCATTCATTTATTTTATAAGATATCGACTCTGAAATTTTTACATAAGAAGCAGAATTTTATCTTTGACCATCAATAAAAAAATCATAGACTTAAAAGTGTACGAATCGTCCCAATCTTTCCCTACATAAAAAGGTGACCAAATTTTTTTTCTCAAACTCCTTTGCGCTGCAGTAGGCTCGTAAAGCCGTTGGTTGTGACGGCATCTGCAGTCATTAGCACAGAACAAACTGCACTGGGTCCACTTGTTAAGTTATGTTCTGCTTCGATTCCATCCAGAGAAGGTTTGTACCCCAGCAGTGGAAACATTATATTTTGATGATAATAATTATCGTTAAAGTCTTCCTTGTGATTTATCGTCGTATCTGTTGTATTGTTACTCTTTGGTTATTGATATTATTACAACTCAATGGTTTTATTTACCGTTATTTTTATATTAAATAAATAATTTTAACAGTATCTATACCAGAGTTTCTACTCAAATAAAAGTACTTAAGCAAATATTTTAACAGATAAAGGAGAATTTGAATCAAGTGACAACTATCAAAACATGAAATACTCTTTTATTCATTCAATTAACGTGTATTGGTTAAACATATTTGCTTTAGTTATTAATTTTAATCAAGTAATTACTTCTACTCGACTATATGTGACTGTTACACCCGTTTTCACTAACCAAGAAAAAGGCATAGCTTAACTAACAAATGCCTTATACCTTAATGAAATGCCTTATAAATAAACATATTTCTTTTATCCCTTGAAATATTTGTAATCTGTCATACCAAGGAAATACCTAGTGCTAGGCGCCGCATTACTCAAAACATGACTTTAGACATTGCTTAATGTCGTTAGGTGGTTCCTAGTCATTGGCGAGACGTATTTTCACCTTAGGCGATTCCTCGATAAGTGACAGATCTGAGCGACTACTAAGTTTAGTGAAAACGGGTATTACTTATCTAACTAACATCTACCTAAACTAATAACAAGCTTTGTAATTAGTACAGAAATAACTCTTATACAGTTTGTTGATCTATTGAAAAGTTTCTTGTCTTGTTGAAGTTGAAATTATTTTTGTAATGAACACGAACTTATTCATAATTTGTTTTACAAATCATACACTGCGTTAGTTTCTTATCGATCGATATTCAAATTGTTTTAGAAAATTTGACAAAATAATTTCGACTTTGGAGAAGTTTTTGAATTATGGAAAAGTGTTTTCACTTTTGCAATAAGATACAACTAATGCGGTTCACTAATGTACTCGTGCAGAAGGTTAAATTTCGAACCAAGCAAATGTCGACCAATCAGAATGTTTAAAGTACCGTAAACACGGGTTTCTTTAGCCCTGGGGGGTAATTTTGGCCCAAAACAAAAAAAAAGATTACATAGCTCGCTACTCTGTTAGCTCACACGCGAGCGCAGCAGTTTCAATAAAAAATAATAGATGGCAGTATTGGTTAGCGATTCGATGCTAATTTCACGTTGCATACGCTGGTATTGACTTGTTAGTTTCGATCAACTGTTGGAGAGTGAAAACGTGCGTAAATCGTGTCTGCAAACTTTCTCCTGGTACTGTTATTTCTGGTAAGATTTCGTTAATATATTTATTTGATCATATCACTCGTGTATTAGGGGACATGTTAGTCGTATTTAAAATTTATTTAGACCTTGTGTAACTCGAAATTTTTTGATAACAATTGTGTTGTATACTTTGTACCATATTTCGAGCAACTTTGGCCTGCGGGCCAATGTTGTCGCCTGGCTTGGGCCAAAGTATCAATTTTAATAAATATATAAACATTTCTTTTTTTTAAAGGTACTGAAAGGTAAATGAATCGCCATAGCAATGCCAAATACATATAGAAGAAAACTAGGCAGTCGCCAGTATATTGACTACACGATAACAGAGCTTGACGAGTGTATAGCCGCAATTAAATCGAAGGTCATGTCTCAACGTGCTGCTGCGATTAAATACAATATTCCACGCAGTACACTCAAAAATAAATTAAAACAAAAGTATCCGAATAAACCTGGTCGACCAACTGTATTCACGGAAGACGAAGAAAGATCCATTGTAGCCCATATAACCGGCCTTTCGGAATATGGATTTCCGCTGACAGACTCCGATCTGAAAAATATCATTCATTAGTACCTACTGATGCAAGGAAAGCATGTCTGGATGTTTAAAAACAATACCCCAGGAAGAAACTGGCTCCAGAATTTTCTTGTAAGACATCCTGGCTTGTCAAAGCGACTGGCTAATAACGCTCAAGTCTCTGAGCAAGTTATTTCAGATTTTATTGAAAACCTTGACACTGAGTTAGTAAATGTTTCACCAGACAACATTTACAACTACGATGAGACTAATCTCACAGACGATCCAGGAAAAAAAACCGTCATATGCAGGCGAGGAACCAACTATCCTGAAAGTATTGTTAACTAGACTAAAGTTAGTTTTACTGTTATGTTTTGTGGCAACGCAGCAGAAGAAGTCATCCCACCCTACATAATATATAAATCAGAACATCTTTGGTCAACATGGACGGAGAGTGGTCCTACAGGGATACGATATAATAGAACAAAAAGTGGATGGATGAACTTTGTCACTTTTGAGGACAGGTTTTTGAATCATCTCATGCCAATTCTCAAAAAAAAGTTTGGTCGAAAAGTTGTAATTGGTGACAATCTGGCCTCGCATATCAATGCAAAAGTGCTATCAGAGTATCAAAAGAACGATATTAGTTTTATATGCCTGCCTCCAAACGCTACTCATATACTGCAGCCTTTAGATGTCGCTTATTTTCAATCATTGAAAAGCAAGTGGAAGACAACTCTCTCAGAATGGAAAAATAGCCAGGTTGGACGAAAATTAGCAACAACGCCAAAAGATCAGGAAGCCTACTCTAATTCACCGAAAAACGAAATATCGTTCGAAACTTCGGACGTTTCCTACCACAATTACATTCGTTCCGAATATTCAACGAACGAAAATGTTTGACATATTTATTTTCTAAACGTACTCTATTTCACGAAATGACAAAACGAACATTTGAGTTTGACATCTAATTGTTCGGAATTCTTTCCTCAAATTGACGAAGTAAAAAATGTTACCTTTTCATTTTCGTAAGCAATTTTTTATTTTCGAAATGGGGTCTATATTACTATTAATCGAGTCAGCTCTCAGTAAAGAACGATTAGACCGTAGAAGAAATCGGCAGCGGCTTCGAAATAGCCTTAATATAAGAAATATTCTCGATACTGAGTTTGTAAGTATTTACAGACTCAGTTGTGAATTATTTCAAGAACTATGCCAAGAGATTATACCTTTACTGCGTCCACAGGCAAGATCTCATGCCATCGAGTCCACAATTAAACTTGGAAGATATTTTATCGTAGTTCTTGATAAAAAAAATTGCATGCCTACCATTATGCATTTCATATTTTTATGATTCTTACAGCGTTGAATTTTTATGCCCGAGGTAGTTACCAAGGATTCGTATCTCAAAACATGGATGGGCCTATGGCCCAACAAACAGTTTCACGGTGTTAGGAGGTTAGGACTGTCCTCAATTCACCAGATAGGTATTATAAGAAAATATATTATTCCCTCAAAACCAAAATGAAAGGAATCTTATTAAGAGACAGTGAGTACCTAATAGTTTATTGTTTATTTTGGCTTTATGTATGAATTGTGAATAATTACCTATAGAATTATGTCATTAATATTACAGATTTTACGAGGCATATAGGCTATGCCATTATACCTGAAAAATATGACTGATAAAAAGTAAATTTATTACTAAAAACCTTTTTTGTGCCGAAAAACTAAATATTACTTTCATACTTACTTATAAAGTTTTTTACTGAATTGTCAAGATAAATTTCGGAACTCACAATAATTAAATAAAATATTAGTAAACACTGAACAGTTTGGTGAAAACTTGTAAAACTTTTGGCGGGATGAGAATCGTTTGTATTATACGGATATTTAAGATTGCCATACGTTGATTATAGCCATCGTATAAATGAAAGGTTGTTTTTAAATATGTCGGTTAATACTGTGGATAAAAGAGTTCTTTATAGTGTCTTGATAAGTTGTAACGAAAAATAAAATTCATTAATATACTAAGTTTTTCGTTATATTATTATAATATTTTATGTTTAAACAATGTTTAGCCACTAAAATTTTATTTAAAAGAAATATATGTATTGTTTAATATTATATATTTCAAGTTACGGTAAAAACCGGAATTTGACATTATAAGAAATCCAATAACGCCATTCACTCCAATCGATCACGAAAATTGTCTTTGGAACGAACATTCTACGAAAATGATAAAGGGTAGCGTTCCATGCGAAATTTCGTTTTAATTTCGTTCGTAAACGAAATTTCGTTTTCGAGAAAGCGAGTAGGCCTCCAGTTCCCTGTTTTGTTAAAAAAGGCTTTGGATGCAATGACTGGAGCAAAAGACGCATTGATTGCTGGTTTTAGAAAAACAGGGATATATCCCATCAATAAACATGAACCATTGAGTAGATTACCAAGGCAAGATCGAATTCTGAATAAAGAATTGGTAACTATAGGTATTAGTAAATAAGAGACATCACGAATCGAAATTTGCCCGGAGAAAAAAGTTGTAAAGAAAATAAAACTAAACGTAGACCCCGGAAAATCGATGTCACATGATGATGTTAATATGGCAGCCGGGCCTTCGGGATTGCAACCAGATAAAATGAAAAAGAAAAAGAAAATGACACCTAAACGCCCGAAAGCACGATCTTTCTCGACAAGTTCCAGTGAGACTAAGATAAGTCTGGCTTCATCAACTGAAGACAGGATTACTATGTCAGATAACGAGTTAGTTGATTCAGAGCTCGAAGATGAAATGGATGTGTCACGACATCTGAAACGAAACACCAAAAAACCTCAAAAGAAGTTTCCTGCTAATGATATAAAATTAGTAGTGACCACCAAAAAAACACGAAACTTGGTTCCTGTTCAACTTAAAGATATAACCAACGCTGACCGACTTCAAACCAAAACAACCGAGAAAACCGAGTTCAAAGAAAATATTGGAGCTGGTGATCATGTTATAGTACAGTGGAACCAACATTTTTATCCTGGTGAGGTAATATCATTGTCTGAGGAGGCAGTCCTTGTTAGATGTATGAAGAAAGGAAAAGAGTTTTGGCGGTGGCCTGTTATCAAGGACGAACAACTATACAGGCACGAAAATATAGTTCAAAAAATCGGTTTTACTAAATTCGTGAAAAAAGGCTGTTTCTTTGTTCCGGAGATTGATAAATATAAGTAGAAACCTATCTTCTCTTAGGCTAAAATTTAAATAAGAAAGTTATAAACCGAACAATGTCAACGATGATTCTCATAAAAGGCTTTTAAAGATGATCTAGTTAAGTAAGGTATATCTTATTTCAAGAAATGTTATCACGTTTATTTTTTGTTATTTTTTGTTTAAGAGGCTTAAACTATGTTTAAAAAGAGATACATTTAAGAAACAAAGTCTCAAGCCAAAGAGTCCAAACGATGATTATCCTAAAAAGACTGTTAAATTAGATAAAGTTAAGAATTAAGGTTTCTTTTATTTTATTCCAAGACAAAAAAAATACATGGATGTTTTCTTGTTGCAATAAACGTTTTTTTTTTGCTTTATAATCGTTCTAGTTTAATTATTTAACACTCCAACATAGTTTCATTGCCCCACGCACTAAAAAACATTGTATTTGTTTGAGAAAAATGTTGAAGAGCAAAGAAGCCCTTCTTTAAGGACAACATTGGCCCAAAATAAAAAAAAATAAAAAAATATATGTGTATATATTTTTTAGTTTTTATCATTCACGAATGATAATTTACATCTCTTAGATCCCATTAAATCTTATCTAACATATATATTTTCAAAATCCATCAAATGACTCAACTTTAAACCAAAAAAGTGAAAAAAATTGGCTAAAGTAACCCGTGTTTACGGTAATGTGCGTGACCGCCGCTGAGTGTGTGAGACAACAAAGTTATGGTTATTGAAACAAACTCATTATAAATTTAATCGCACATTCGGTCATCGGTTCATTATAATTTGAATTTTGTAAGTCAGCTGTGCGCAACGGAAGATTTACTATGCGCCCAAAGATTACAATGACGTATGAACGTACTAGACAAGTTGTTTGGAACTAAAATCTTCGTTAAGAATAAGTGAAAGGACATTTTTTTTTTTCTGTAAGCATATAACACAACCACTCATTAGTGATTGTTATTATTCGACCACAATATGGTGGTTGGTCTTGATGATTTTTTTTGGCAGAAGTTACTCACGTACAAATGACTTCAATCACGTAAATAAAATATCCTTGAAAATAATAACAACGTTTTAAAGGTCAAAATTGTTAATTTGTCGTTGCTTGCTCGCACTAGACTAAAGAACAGTTGTCTCTGGACAACTGTTTAGTGAGTGATTATTTAGTACCTATAACATAGCTGATCTAATATTATACATAGAAGTCTTTACATGCGCCATATAAATTTCAACTTACGGTAACAACATTTTCGTGGCATATATGAAAGTGTTTATATAAATTATATAAATTCTTTTTTCAAATACTTATATTGATAATTATAAAAAAAACCGTATGTTTTTTACACAACTGCCCAAAAAAGGAGTGTATTGTGTTTAAGGTTAGTGTATATGTCGCAGGCATTTTGTATGAAACCGCCGTTTACATACGGCGTCGTCAGTTTAGAAACGCTCGCTATTATGTAATATGCCGAAGGAAAAATGTATATTGCCGATTCATTATATATTGTGCCTAAACATTAGATTGATAATTCAAACGCCATCTACATAATACCGCGGCAATATAAATAATTACTTTTGTTTCTTACCACTCGCGTTGTTGTTGATCATAACAAACAAAATGGCATCAATCAGTGGTTTTGTGACACAAAAAAATATTGAAAATAGGGCAAATACTGCGTGTTCAGGAGACTTTTTGCAAAATACTTGTGATTTTAAAGACATTTACTTTAGTGAATAAAAAAAAATTACGATATTCAAGCGGAAGCTATAAAAAGCCGTAGACAAATGAGAAGATTTTTGATGTAATCCGGCACCTCAAAAATGCTAAGGTGTCCATAGAATCTGGCTCTCGGAGGATACCTGTCCAAAATTATTGATAAAATAAATATGAGGTTATAAGTATCAGTGATGATTTATTTATTTTTTTTATTTATTTATTCTTTATGCACAATCGTACAAAGGCGGACTTAATGCCTTAGGCATTCTCTGCCAGTCAACCTTTGACTATCTTATCCTAAAAAGGATAGCCCTGATAGTCTAACGGTTCGTGTAATACCATCAGAAGATTATTATGACTTAATATTCGATATTCATAGAGGCTGCGGACATGGTGGTCGAGATAAAATTCAATATAAAATAAACGAAAGATTTATTATTGTGAGAAAAGTGGTCGACTTATTCGTCTCATTGTATTCTGTCTGTGAATCCAACATACAACATACCAAAGAAAGGCATCGTAGTTAAACCAATTATATCTAGAGATTTTAAAGAGTGAACTAGTGGTGCTCATAAATGTTGTTTTTGTTTTAAACCAGTTCACACTATTAGCGGGGAAACATTTGGTAAAGAAGGTTATGGCTCAAAAGTTTCGTGTTTTATGAGTAAATTTTGCTGCATCAAGGCAGCTGTAATTATTGGAGATATCGTTTTTTTTTAACTTCCCAAAAATTGATAGAAGGTCCGATACACAAAATATATCTGGAAAAGTATTGGATATGAGACATGCCGTTTACCAAATTAGCACAAGTAATGGGATTATCAAAACCTGATTTAAGTTTGGTGTAAGAAATTCTTCAAATATAAGATTATTCCTTAAGAGAATCTATTTCCAAAGAATCTTTATTTGGAGGAAAAGGTTTTGGCAAATGCTTATGCAAGTCGGCTACTAGGCAGTGTTAAAATAGCGGATGTGCATGTTTTAAAAAGAATATATTGTTTGTCCAAATGTCACACAAGTTTAACACGCAAATAAATAATTCTTGATTTAATTATTAAAACCCGCCTATTTGTATTCTTGGGTATTGGGAAATATTAAGTGATTTCGTTGAAATACGGATTTTTACATTGATATTGAACTAACCAAAAAATTATAACAAAGAGAATTTAAAATTAATATATATTTTAAATAGTATCATTGGATATCTCCACCCCTCCAATCCGCATTGGGTCAGCGTGAAGGGTCATGGCCCATCCTCCTTAAACATCCATAAGGAAGGCCTGAGCCCCTGCAGTGAGGACCTAAAAGGGCTGATGATGATGATGACCATTGGATAGTTTTGAAATGTCGTATAAGTAAGATGAATATGTCAAGACTTCAAGAATAATATTAATGTGCCCACCTAATTGTTTATCTTTAAAAAGTTATTATTATTTAGGCTGATTATTCCAAACTGTGTTTTCTTCATGGTCACCCTAAAACTACAACCAACATTAAAATTATAACAATTGAACGAATTGTCATTTTGCCTTCGGCAAATTACTTAATAGCGAGCGTTTCTAAACTGACGACGCCATATTGAAACGGCGGATTCGAACAAAATGCCTGCGACATATACACAACGTTTAATAGAAATAATGCATATCCTTATTCATCTCAATTAGAAAATGTATTATAATCGAAAATTGGAATTTTATTTTTATGAAGTAAAACATTGTTTATGTAAGAACACAGTTATACTAAATGCTGGGTAACATCGTGGAAATCTTACAAATCCACACAACGACGACAAAATTATAGCTTAGCCTGCAATAAATGTATGTATCTACGGTGCGACACCACCTACCTATCTACCTGCCAACAAAAATTCTCGACATATTTCGAAATTTAATGTTTTTTAAGTTTAGACAATTATTATGATCCTTACTTTGTTATGTCTTAGTCCTTCGATCACATATCACACAGCGAGCACACCATCACAACATTGTGCCTTACCCTTAAGCATTTTAATGTACTTACGTTTACTTTAAATTCGATAAACTTCAATTTGCGATGATATAATCATCCACTGCCACTGTCATGTTTGTCACACATGTCATGTTTATTTGTGGTATATTTTTTTACTCTTTGGTTTATAAACTTGTGTATCATAGCGTTTAATAGTATTTTAGACTCCAGCACGCGTAGCATGACGAAGTCGAGAACGTTTTGTCTACACTCAAATGTCACTTTTCTCGGGTGCGCCCATACTATATCTCACTCTCGACCCGAGAAACTGACAAATGAGTGTAGACAAAGCGTTTCTGGAGTTTGTCATACTACACGTGCAGGCACATTAAAAGAATGCTTATTTTCTTTGTTTTTTTCCTATGTTGTATTTTATAATAAGCTACGAATATAATACATTTTAAAAAGCCTTATTACATTCACTTAAATTTATTTTCTGTTTGAGACTTCTGTAATGGTTACAGATGACCATAATTTACTCGATTATAATTAAATTTAGCAAATAAAAGAAACCTATATTAGAAGTTGTTGAAATCGCATCTGTATTTATTTTTAAACATACTTAATTATGTTACATGTCGTATACTATGTGAGTTGCGTAAAAAGAAATATACAAACCTTAAATATATTGTAATACAGAAACATCATGATGATGCAAGGTATGTAGAATGAGCCCAATGAGGAATAAATGACGTAATTCGTGTTATTGAAGAGGCACTGGTTAGCGCTTCTGTCTGGGGTATTGTTGAGGCCGAGCACTATGGGGGAGCCGATTGCCATTGATACCAACCAGGCCACTCCGATCATAAGCCACACTCGGCTGTTGCTCTTGTGTTTCGCGTACTTGATTGGTTGGGTCACTGCTATGTACCTGTGGACAGAGAAGATTTGGAGTTTACAAGTCGAAAATAGTTCCTAAATCTACGTGTGCGTTAAATAATCGGTTTCATATTCAGTTTGGGATTTGCCCCGTCCTGATTCAGTTGAATAAGTCAAAATTGAGTTCCGTCATCATCATTAGTCTATTAATATCCCCACACTGCTGATGCTCAGGCCTTCCATATGGATTGAATAGACCCACCACGCGGACCCAATGCGGATTTGTGGGTATTAACGACTGCAGATGCGGCTCGGACCAACTGCTTAACGTGCCTTCTGAAGTATAATAATTTTGGTCACTCATCTTATGACTGGCCCTGCGAAAGTTGCTTATCAGCCGTATTGCAGACCGAGGGCGCTAACTATTGCGGTATCAAGCTTAAAATTGAGTTTGAATAATTTTAATTTGTGAGAAACTTATTACTATTATATTGTTTATTTAATTTTGGCACAGTTATGTGGATTCAAC